GTTGTAGATTTGCTGGTGTGCTTGGGATCATTGTCCTGTTGCATGACCCAAGGTCAGCCAAGCTTTAGCTGTCGGACAGATGGTCTCATACAGTATTTGACTGTAGAATACTTTGGTACAGAGAGGAGTTCATGGTCAACTCAATGACTACAAGGTGCCCAGGTCCTGTGGCTCCAAAACAAGCCGACATCATCACCCCTCCATCACCATGCTTGACAGTTGGTATGAGATGTTTGTGCTGATATGCTGTGTTTGGTTTTCGCCAAACGTGGCACTATGCATTATGGCCAAACACCTCCACTTTGGTCTCATTTGTCCAAAGGACAGCATTCCAGAATTCTTGTGATTTGTTCAGATGCAACTTTGCAAACCTAAGCCATGCTGCCATGTTCTTTTTAGAGAGAAGAGGCTTTTTCCTGGCAACCCTTCCAAACAAACCATACTTGTTCAGTCTTTTTCTACTGGTACTGTCATGAACTTGAACATTTAACATGCTAACCAAGGCCTGTAGAGCTGGGATGTAACTCTTGGATTTTATGCAATTTCTCTGGGCATCACATGGCCTAACCTTGGGGTGAATTTGCTGGGACATCCTCTCCTGGGAAGATTGGCAACTGTCTTGAATGTTTTCCACTTCTGAATCATCTTCCTCACGGTAGAATGATAGACTTTAAATGGTTTGGAAATGGCCTTATAACCCTTCCCACTTTGAAGGGCAGCAACAATTGCTTCTCTAAGATCATTGCCGATATCTTTACTCTTTGGCATTGTGTTAACACACACCTCAATGCTCAAGACTAGCAAACTCCTAAAACTTTGGATGTTATAAAGGTAGGCACTTGCTGATGATCAACTGATCAAGGGCATTTGATTAGCAGCACCTGGCTGCTACTTAGTCTCTTCCTACCTATGGAAGCAGTAAGGGTGTACTTAGTTTTTCACACATGGCTTCTCCATTCTGGCTTTATTTTTGTAAAAGAAATGATGACATGGTGTAATATGTCATGTGTTATTGTTCATCTGAGGTTGTATTTACCTACTTTTGAAAACTGCTAAGGACCAGATGGTTTTTATTATGTCCTGAAATGGTAAACCATAGAACTCAAAGGGGGTGTACTTTCTTTTTCACATGACTGTATATAAGTAATATGAAAACATGATATATGTATGAAAATATGAACAAATAAGAAATCTATTGTATAAAAAACATTTTAATGTTTTAATTGTTTAAAAAACATTTATACATTTAATAATAACCCCCTTTATCTCATTAAAATGTGTAATTCAGCTGGTGTCTAGATCCCTTGGGCAACCTCAACACTGAGGGAAATTTCCTAGAAATTCAATACGGCATGGTAAAGACAGATTTTTAAAAATTATTTTAAAAAATTAATTATACACCATAACTAAAGCTATTTCTGCCAGTTGATAGCATGTGGCATTTAAAGCTAAGGCTCCACTTTATATCCTCTTGGATTCAAAACCTGAACCCTCTTTTCCGTAGAGAAATGATAAGCTTGCTTTCTGATTCCCACAATTCAATCTAAATGGCAGTTGCCTGTTGAGATTCTTTTCATCCTGGCCCTTGAAAGTTTAATCTAATCCTCCAAAAGTCATCTATGCATGAAGGGCTCTGGAAGAAAAAAAAGTCAATATTTGGGTGGGGGGAGACTGCATGTAATTCTAGGGCTGCATTTTCTGCACAGCACATATTTAATGCAGAACAGCCTATAAGGAAGATTAGAATGTGCTGACTATGCACCAATCTTTTCCAATTACATGTCAAACCTGGAACCCAAGGGAGGCAGACTCAGCGTCTTTTATGGAAATCTTTGGCAGACAGCAAGATAAAATAGTTAGGTGTTCTTGAGCCATCCTTTCAGCAAAACCTGCCTTTTTTCCTCATAAACCTGGGGGGAATTCACCTAGCTGAGAGGAAAAAATTGAATGTGGCTGTCTCAAAATATGCAGAAGAATAAATAATATTTTTAGCCTATTTCTCTGTAAGACTTAATTCAGTGTACAATTTTGCAAATCTGTAGGTAATGATTACAGAAGATTTAAATTATTTATTTCATTTCTGAGCAAAAATTAGTAACCTCACATGGAATTTTAAGATTTCTTGGATAATGGAGAGTTTAAACTTATTACTTTCTAGATAAGCATGAACATCAATTCTGGGGCACATTCCTAAAAGGAGTTAGTAATATAAGAGAAACTTACATTCTTATTAGGTTGCTTATTAAAAATTTCTTAGCATATTTTTATTTGATTAAAGTTTTTTTAAAAGAATAGGATGGATTTCTAAATTTGGGATGAATTTGGGAATTTGGAACAATTTGTAAAAATGTCCAAATCTTTAATTTGAATTAAAAAAAAGGGTGGGTAAGAAATCTAGTTCTTTGAGACTGCCTTTGTAACAAAAAATGTAGCTGATTCAGGATTCAAAATATAGGAAAATGAGGGGAAAAAGATTAAGATGATGATTACTCGATAGAAAGATGGCTGGAAGGCAGAATTGTATGTTTTCTTTCTTATTCCTTTTCTCTCTTTCTCTGACTTTGTATCTCATTTTTGTTTGCTTTATATAATGTTACTATATTGAAAACCATAAACAAATAAATAAACAAATAAATATGTGTGCAAATGTTCAAATGCTTTCTCCCTTGCAATTTCTCTTACCTGTCTGGTTTGAAATCTTCCCTGCTGGACACGGAGTGCAATCGTAGCAACAAAATGGTTCCCCATCAATTTTGGTCTTTCTGTAACCAGAATGGCATTTATCACTGCACAGGGAAAGAGGTTGCACCTTCCACAAGTGAAAGAAGAGGATGGTAAGGCATTCAGAAAACAAGCTTTCAAACTCAGAATCTGCAGAGTTTAGAGATGGGTAGCAGTGAGAGATGAAACTGGGTCCACCAACAAAACCCTGAGATACACAGGAGAAAATACTGACAACTGGATTCACTTGTGTGACATGAAGAGACAAAGGTGAGGAAGGCAACAGGGAGAATGGAAATTGTGCACGCCCTCTGAACTATCTATCAGCAATATTCAAGAAAGCTTCTGCCCTTTTAAGAGCATACCTGGCTATAAGAACACAACCTTGTCTAAAGCTGTGCCTAGAACTAGTCAAAGCAGTTGCAGAAAGCACATCTCTGAGGCAAACTCAAATTCTGACCAATGCAGGGGATAAAATCTCTTCTTTTCATGTACATGAAGTCATAAACTAAGAATAAAATGCAGGAATTCTTTAGCGCATGAGTGGAGAATGCCGTCTCTCCCCCCTCCCCACATTTACTTAAGATTAATATTGCCTTTTTTTTTTGGTCATTTTAATATTTCCTGGTATACTTTGGCCTACTAATTCTGCCTATGGATATGGAAATTTTAATTTCTTTATTTCTTTGATTTTGATAGCAGCCCATTGCAATACATGACTCTGGGTGGCTTTTAAAGGGATGAGTAGAAACAGCACCTTTAAAGTATCCCATTCTTTGTTAAAAATGCAGAAATGGGCACAGACATAAATCTGTGATAATTTTCAGAAGTCAAAATACCTACAGAAATGGCTGCTTTTGCCCTTTATGCTTAAGGAAACGATGCAGTATTGTTTGATTTATTAGGTCCCAGATGTGGCAAGGGAGGAATACTAAAAGAGGACCTGAGCGGTTTGTTCACTTTAGAAATTTACAACCAAGCAATATTGCATATCATAGAGATAGATGGAGCACAAAGGGCATGAGGAATCTTCACTGTGTTCTAGAATCTGGAATCTGAGGAGGCTGTTTTTCAACTTTTCTCCAGCAAAGAACATTTAAAATGCTCTCAAACAGTTCAGGCTCTCCTCCTACAATGTTTACAGGAGAAAAGGGATATAGGAGTAATGTACTAGATTTTTTCCAGGTGTTTTTTATTTTTGTAAGCCTTAGGTCAAAATTTGATTGAAAACAAAAAACTAGAAGTGTTACTTGATGAGAAACAATGCTATTTCCTTTCCCTGAAGGTCCAGCTACATGGCAACACTGGGAAAAGAAGTAAACTAGACATCGAAATGATAGGAGCTCTACCTGATTGAACCAACTGGGCCAGACAATGTCATCATCAGAAACAGACAGCTGCTTGCCAGGAGGTGCCCACGGGTCGATCGTTCCAACTTTGACTCTAGCAAAGGATTGGTTTGGAAATGTAACCCAGGTCATAATATCAAATCCCACAAGGAATTCCTGATTTGAGTCAAAAGAAATCCTTTCCCCAGCACTGTTATTAAATGATACACTTCTCAGAAAGTGGTGGAGCTAAATACAAGACAGGGAAAAAAGGTCATATGATGGAAACCAACTTCTTCATATCAGAGTCTATAATTATGTGGGCTGATATGATGTATGATATGTAACGAGGTTTCTGTGTGTGTGTGTGTGTGTGTGTGTGTGTGTTTAAAGGAATCTTATAATGCAATTAACAGAAATGTTCAGTGGAAGATCAATATTGCCACATTCTCTATAATGATTAACTGTATATGTGCCTGAAATATTGTACAATTTATGCCTGAAACTAGAAGTAGTTTTTAGCTTGTAGTATGAGAAGAAGAAGAAGAAGAAGAAGAAGAAGAAGAAGAAGAAGAAGAAGAAGAAGAAGAAGAAGAAGAAGAAGAA